ATGTCAACGTCTGGAGACATTTTTAGTTGTCACAACTGGTGGGGGCAGAGAATGCTACTGGCATCTAGTGGGCAAGGCCAGGGATGGTGGTAAACATCCTATGAGGCACAGGACAACCTCTCAACAAAGAAGTATCCAAAATATCAACAGTGCTGAGGTTGAGAAGTCCTCTACAGGAATCATTTCTAGGCCATTTAGTTTGAACATTTAGATATAGAATTCCAAAATTGGAAAGAACTTTAAGGATTATCTAGTCAAGCACAGTTGGGGAAACTAAGGTCCAGAGAGGCCAAGTCATTTAACCAAGTTCATAGAAGAAATTACCAGCTAGGCTGGAATTAGAATCATCTTTATACACTCCCAAATATGTGTTATACATGGATGCTCAATAATGGTCGCTAAATTGATATCCTGCTCTTTAGGTGGTCTTTTCTATTATAACAAACAATTCACTCTCTGCTGCTGGGAAGCCCAACATCTGAGATTGTGTATGAAGGCTTATTCACACCCCTTCTTACCCATATTCTTCTTCCTCAAAGGAAGCCCAGAAGTGGAGAATATACTAGAGCTCAAGAACAAGTGGCCAGGCAGAATATGCCTTTCAATTATTTGAAGGGAGGCTCATGCCTTTCTGCCAGAAGGAGGCTTTTTACACAAAACCTGAGTCCACAAACAAACCCTTGTGCAAGACCACGAACACATGACGTTCTCTCCCCAACGGTGTGCAGCAGCTTTCCTAACACATCAGAGGAGCCCCAACCAATGGCAAACAGACGGAAAATCAGTGCCAGTTTAACTGAATCACAACCGTATCCAAACAAGCTAGAGAACTTTCATTTCCAAACAAACAGAAGACTAGAAATTAATTCTGGGATCAAAGTACAGACGGTCGCATGTTAGTCATCAAAACAGCCCTGGCTTAAGGGAGGAGAACAAAGGGTGAAGATTTGGCTCTTTCAAAAAGAAAACACTACCATGTTTAAAAACTAGATATTTCAGAATTGGGTATAATGAGATTCAGGTCAGGTGTGGTGCAAGGGGGTGGGGCAAATATTAGCGGTACGGATAGAAAGGTCCTGCAAAAAGAACAGTGTGTAGAAGAATCCAGGGTAGGTCTCTAGGAAAAAAATCACAGCTTCAAAAGAGCTAAATTAAGGTTCTTCAAATTAAACAGACCTGTTCCAGTGGGTACCAGAAGAGCTTCTAAAACTGCTGCAAGGTTATTATTAATTTCTGCAGCACCTGAGAACAGTGTCTAAATATTTACTCCCATCCCACAAAAAGGCTAAAGGAGTGCTTTTTCAGCCTCCTGTTTCACACCCCATGCTACATTTCTCCCAAGATGCAAGATGATGTGCCACACCACAACCTCCTACTGAGAGGGCAGAGTACTAGCTTCGCGACTGGCTCCAGCTTTCAATGTGGCACGGATGCCAAAAGCACAAAAAAAGAAAGGGCACAAAGAAACTACAACAAAACAACCATGAAATTCACCTGCTTGGCTTCCTGGAATGTCACAGATATTCAAATATCTGAGTTAACAGCATGAGAATAACTTTCAGAAGACAAAAAAAGAGTATGATCTGAACACACATTAAAAGAATAACAGTGTTCAGATGGAGGCATAGATACTATGTGTCAGATGCTGCCCATTATGCATACAGATATACATGGGACACAGTCCCTGTCTTGATGGAATTTATAGTCCAAGGAAAGCTCTTATTAAAAAAAGAACCAGGGGTGGCGGGGTGGCTCAGTCGGTTAAACGCCCGACTCTTGGTTTTGGCTCAGGTCATGATCTCAGGGTCTTGAGATTGAGCCCCACGTCGGGCTCTGTGCTCAGGGCAGAGTCTGCTTAAGACTGTCCTCCCTCTTCCCCTGCTCTCTCTCAAATAAATAAATCTTAAAAAAAAACAAAAACAAAAACCCCCCCAAAACAAACAAAAACACGGTAGTATTAACCCCTTTCTACCAATGTAGGACCTCTAATCCATCTTCCCAGTGGACTGGTTAAGTGAAGGAGGACTGTATGAACAACATTAAGATGCTGATCAATACACAACAATATTTCCATATATCAACCATATAATGTGGAAGACTATGCATGAGATAAGAATATATGTTGGCCCATCTTTCTGTGATCATGTTCCATAAATCTGTTCCTTATGGTCAAGCCAGGATTCTCCATAGCTCTCCACTCTTTGCCTCAACAGATGTCCACTACAGTGAAGCAGTTCAGAATGACAACCCCATAGCAAGGTTGTCTCTGCATGGGCTCAGCCCAGAGGACTTCCTGACAACTTTTTAAAATTAGAGGGCCCACATGACCACTCACCTCTGAACACATAATCCATTAGTCTAACAGCAATACAAAAATTTACATTGTACCATTATTTATAATATTGAAAAACTAAAAATCCTAATGTCCAACAATTGGGCAAGAGTTAAATAAGTAATGACATATTCAAATGATGGAATATAATAAAGGTATTTAAATGTTTTTAATGTCATGAAAAATGCTTATGATAAATGTTAAGCAAAACAATAATGACATAGGGCGCCTGGGTGGCTCAGTTGGTTGGGCTGCTGCCTTCGGCTCGGGTCATGATCCCAGGGTCCTGGGATCGAGTCCCGCATGGCTCCCTGCTCTGCAGGGAGCCTGCTTCTCCCTCTCACACTCCCCCTGCTTGTGTTCCCTCTCTCGCTGTGTCTCTCTCTGTCAAATAAATAAATAAAATCTTTAAAAAAAAATAAATAACATTGAGTCATCTGAGTCATACATATCCTTAGATTTTACAATAAAAGAAGAAAACATATTCCATTCTCCTCTTGTTAGATAATGAAACTAAAC